TGAGACAGAGCCAACCTATATAGTCCACTCCCATTCATGGGAATGCCAAATGCCAGAACCAAACGCGTTCGGGCCCTTGGCCCTTGGACCATGCGGCGATGGTGACATATGTTTTCGAGTCACACGATGCTGACTCCCTGGGACCCCCTTGAAAGCCACCGTCCAACCTGAAGAGGGAGAGCTCTGCACGGACCAAGGGGGTGCCCATCTCGTCGTTGATCACCTCGCATAGGCCAAGGCAAATGGAGGAGCACAATGGAACCGGGTCAAAGACGGAACGCTCCTGTGCTCCAAACTCACTCCTTTGACTAAACGCGTGGGAATACAAGGGTTGGCCCCTCTAGATGCAGCTATGAATGTGACTATATGTGCACATCCAAAAAAATGGGTGTTGGTGAAAAGCAGTCCTTCACCCTCTGAGCCTAATCCTCCAAAAGGTCATTGCTTCATGACTGCGGAATGTTTTTGCCTTTCTGCAGCAACTCCAAACCTGGTCTTTGCTACTGCGTTCGTGTCCATCGGTCTTTCCCCTGCTTACTGCTTCTCTCATTCAACTATCACCTCTTGGAAAACCTCTCGTCACCTCAGAAAGACCTCCTCGCCCTGCATTGGTCCTCCACTCACCGTGGTTTTCCTCCTTTCCTCCTTTCCTCCCCGACTGCGAAGCGGCTGAGAAGTCGGGTGGTGGCACGTCGTGCTGCCAAACCAGTTCCCCCAGCTGCCGCGCCATGACTTCCACCTCACGGAATCGGCCCGTCAGGTGCGAAGGGACCAAAATCGGCCCGTCCGGTGAGTCGAACCATAGGGTCAATGGTTTGGACTGGTTTTTGCATGGTATGGTCCCTATAGTCAATGGTTTTTGCATGGTTTCCCTAATGATTTTACTCTGCAAAACCAGATCAACCATTGGTCTTGGACTTCCTGGGTAGGTACATCTTTTTGGGACATGAACGACACCTGGTGCACCCTGGTGTCCCAAAAAGGCTGCCTTACAGCTTCAAGGAGTGGTGGATGTCCAAGCCCTTCCAAGCTGTTGCTTTCACCTGCCGTATGGCGCCAGTAGGATCCAACGGCCTAGGGTGCTGGAGCTGGGAACAGGGCCTCCTTGTGGGCCTTGGATGGAGTGCTCGTTTTGGCCGAGCAAAAAGCCCGCCTTCCACACTCAAGTGGATCCCACCTGCCTCTGCGGCCTCCTTCTCCTGGTTGGAGTTGTCCTTTTGCACCTTGGCGGAGCTAAGCTGACGTAAGCTCTGAACCACAAGGCCCTGCTGCTGTCGCTTCTTTCTGTGCTAATTATCTACTATATATTTAATTCACCCCAAGGCGTGCATCAGCAAAAACATCCCCACAAAGCGCAAGGTGATGTTAGCCTGACCGTATGGCACATGCAGCCCAACCCACCCATGACCTTGATGTTCCAAGGAAACTGAGGGACTGGTGGAGGGGCGGAGTGGAGATGGATGTCAAACAGACTGAGCCGTGGGCCACAGCCCCACCAGGAGGGAACCCATTTCGGGAAAAAATACGATAGAAAGACCGTTTCAGTTTCAGCCAAGAATTTAGTATTGTGGTGTGAGCGTCCCACCAGGTGGTGCTTCATTCTTGGCCAAAAAGAACCGCCCACGGACAAAGGATATAAATGATGTCACAGCCAGGCAAGCTAAAGATACTGGAAGCTGTGGTATTTTGTTTGCGTTTTCTTCGGTGGCCAAATGCTCATCAGCGTGGCAAACAATTCCGCACAGGCTTCCTGAGTAGGACACTCCCGAGGACCTCCTTGTGGCTCCAAGTGACATACTCAGGAGGCACCGAGGAGAAGATCCCAGCAGCGCTGCCACCCAAGACCTGAACGTGGTGACCGAGGCACTTCGGGCGCGCGGGCGCGCCCCGGGCGCCGCATACCGCGGATATCCGTGGATCGCGGCCCCAGGCACTTGCAGAAGTAAAGCTGCGTGTGGGTGCACTTGCGAACACCGAAGGCCTCGAAGAAACGGTCCTTTTCGGGAATTGCCCCTCACCCTGCACCCCTGCACCCCTGCCGCTGCTCCAGCCTGCGTGGCACGGAACTTCACCTTGGCCATTTCGGTGCTTGGATCAACGTCACTCAGTCATTGCTCCAAGATACGTCGATCGGACACCAGGAATCAACTAGTGAACTAGTGCATCCCGTTTAGGTCCTACTGGTCTTGCGGCGGTAGAAGGCTCAGAAAACCCGTCTTTGGGAAGTAACCCCGCATGCCTCCTCCAGGGTCCAGGCTTTGCCCCCCTGAAACAATCATGGAAGTGAAGTGACTTCCCCGGTTAGCAGAGTACAGTCTTCCTTTTGCGGTTGGTTATGTTCCACTAGGTTCCAAGTAATCAGGGTATCTACCAGGACCTTCCAAGAGGCGTCTATAAACAGCCTCTTAGAGTAAAGGGGTTTCCAATAAACCACCTGTTGGAAGGTCCTGGTATCTATCATCTCTCATTGCTTTTGGTGACTTGGGTCTCCTGACTTGCTGAACCTTCGATGATGGAAACGCCCGACCTTCACCAACAAAAATCGGACGTGCGTTCACAATGCGACGTGTTCACCGTGCGGTTTGGCCTTGAAATCTGGATGTTCAACTCAAAAAGGTCAGTGCTCAGACCATCATAGTCATGTTATCTCATGTTTCATCTACATTGCTGGAGGCTCACCTCATACATGTGGCATCATGTGGCTCAAAAAAAGGTTAGGGACTTCCGGACTTCCGGATTCCCGTGAATTCGGGCCAAGAAACAGGTGAAAGCTCAGAACACACATCTTCAGAAAGCTCAGAACATCCCAATCCTTTCTAATCCTCTCTCAGCTTCAGAAAGCTCAGAACAAAAAGAAAAGCAAAGAATCCTCTCCAATCCTCTCTTAAACCCGATTCTCGCCCACCGTTCCGGTGCCTCCGGGCGCCCGCACCCAAGCGGAGCCCGGCGCTGGACCTCGGCCGCCCTGCCGGCCGCCCTCACGGCCTTCGACCTGATCCCCGTGCCGAGCTATCAGGAGACAGGTGGTGCTTTCTGGCCAGCTGCTTTCAGGTGTTTCCAGGTGTTTTCAGGCGGTTTCTCGCAAGTTTTTTCACGGTGTTCAATTGTCTTCAAAAGCATGTGTTGTTTCACTATATGTGTTCATGTGTTTTCATGTCTTTCTCGCCTGAGTTGTCGGCCATATCTGTTTGGTCAATATGTGTTTGGGGTGTCGGAATCTGAACATCGGCATCCGAACACGAACCAATAAACCGGCGCGAACCGATTTCCAACCTGTCTTTCGCAAGACCTCTCCCCTCGCAAGACCCCCAGCGCCGCCAAGAAACCACGAAACCCGGTCTCGAAATGTCTTGAACTTGAGCCACGGACTTGGACCCCACCAAACCATGCTGACACCGTTGTACTGGAACCGACCACACCCAGCAGGTGCATATTCAAACCTCCCAAAAACCCCCTGGAAGAAGGATCATAGACACCGAAACCAATTTTCCTGATTAAAATACACATCCAGGTGGAAAAAGCACTCGTCACACGCGGCTACCTGCCCTTCCACACCTCAGGAGGCATCACGCCAGCCGGCTCCGCCAAGGGCGAGCGAGCGCGCTCCTAAGGCGGTGCCGGTTCGGCGTGCTGCTCGGGTTCCCCCTTTGGAGCTTACGGCTTGAGTTCGAAGTCCTTAGATTTAGTCCATAGATTACGGGGGGGGTGAAGGTTGAACTATAATCAAGAGTCCACATTGTATAGATTGAGAGGATGGTAGCAAAGCCACATAGGCCAGCTGAAGATTGACTGTAGTATTTCTGGTATCTTTACCAGCGATGAAATGCCACCAAGTGCGAAGATCAAGCACATCGTCGTCTAGAGTCTAGACACATGTCTGCAGTTGATGGCAGAAATTACGAACCGCCTCTAACCTCAGCCCCTCAAATCAGTTCTATACCAGGACCTTCCAACAGGTGGTTTTTTGGACACCCCTTTACTCTAACAGGCTGTTTATAGACACCTCTTGGAAGGTCCTGGTAGTGGGAATGCTCTTTCATGTTCTTAGAAGTCTTTCTTGAGCACTGGCAGCACTCCGAAGGCCCGATGCTGTTCATGGAAGAGCCCCCAAAAACCACATGTACCGTGCAACCACATGCAGGGGGGGAACATCTGTGGTCCACAAGGATTCTTCTCCAAATCACCGAACATATCAAGTCCGCCAGGAGATTCGTACCATATGTCTGTCACCAATTCGGCCCTACCCCTCCATGCCCGACTCGGTGCCGCCGAGGTGCGCTGTCTGCCGCAAAGGGGTGGCACAGCCAGCCATCCAAGCGAGAAAAGGGGATGGAAGTGGTCCGGCGGTTCTTAGGCTTAAACAACTTGAGGCTAGCATAGGCTAGGATGGCTACATAGGTGAGTTTGTCTTCAGATGGGGGGACCCTTCAACCAATGTGTTCTCTCCTTAAGCTAACGGCTTCCGCCAAATCAGGCCATTCAACTTGCTCGAAAAGTCGATTTGTTTCAAGGGTGTCAACTCCAAGTAGGGGAGACACCAGCCCGCCAGGTGACCGGCCCAAATTCACTCCTCTGTCAAATACATGCGACCACGACTCAGGCTGTATCCTTGGGATTTCTTGCATTTTTTTTGATCGATCTGCTTTTATGCCCTGCGTTGGCGACCAATGGTGAGGCTTGAGCGGTGGTTTCGGACAGCCGGAATTGCACACATACTCAACCACTGTGAGTGGCAGACCGCACCCCCGCCTACAAAAACACTTTTCGCAATCGACATCGCAGTATACTAATAATAAACTGCACTCTAAAGCCTAAAGCCTAGACCCTCCATGTTCTCCAATCAAGAGATCTCTTCCACCAACTTGTGAAGGATGTCCTTCAAACCTGGACTAGTTCCACGCCGAGGAAGAGTAGAAAGGAACACAAACCTTCGCAAGGCAGGCCCGACCAGGCGGACCGATGTCTTCGCCCGGCAAGCTCAGCCCCCGCGTGGCACGGTCCTCGCCCGCGGCCGTGAGCGTGGAGAGGCTCGGCAGCGCGACGCCGTACCTCGAGGGGGGCGATTCGAGGGCTGAGCGGTCTCGAGTGGCCTAATTGTTGAGGTATAGACGTGCACCAAGCGAGGCGCTCCCCAAAAGGTCCGCATGCGGAAAGGGGCTCAATCGGGGAGAGGTTATAGCACCACACGTGGGCGTTGGTGCGTGCAGAAGCTCAATTGAACGGCCTAAGGCTGATTTATGCTGATTGAGTGGCTGGCCTGTCGACGGGAGAACGTTCTGCAAACTTCTATAATGGATCATTCTCCAATTCATTGCAATTCCGTGATGATGCCTTGGCGGTCAATGCAATTTGTTGCGCAAAGTATTGGAAAGGCTTCTTTCAGCTTTGCGTCTTTAATCGTCTTTACATTGCGAATTGGCAAACCTTCGCCTCAGCCACACTTGTGGGCCTTGCCCGTGCTATACAGTGCTTGAGCGCGGTCAGCAGTGCCTCCAGATGATGTCCACCTGCAAGCTTGCGCCCTGCACTCAGCTCTCCGATGAGATCCGATGAGATCCGAAGCACCTGCGGCTGCCGCGCTTCCCGGATGTGCGGGACGCGCGGCCGCAGCGTTCGCAGCGTGACCGAACACGCGGTCGCCATGGTTCTCCTAATCAGGAAGAGACCTGGCGGCTGTACAAATCCGCAGGCTGTACAAAGCAAAGCGAAGATCTCAAAAAGTTCAAACCCTCTTAGGCCACCCTGGGGCCTGAGGAGCGTCACTTGGCGAGCCGCAAAAACAATACCAAGGACGGGCCGATGTAATTCGATGGCACTGACATGGAGGTCAATCTTAGAGAGTTTCCAGATTTCCCTGAGTAAAAAGGGACCTATAACAGGACCTTCCAAGCCCGGTGGTTTTTGGACACCCCTTAACCACTAAGAGGCTATGTATAGACACCTCTTGGAGGGTCCTGGTAGAGAAACGTTTCCAGTTTCTTAAGAGTTCACGTCATGTCTTCCCTTCACCTCTCCCAGACGTGCCGGTCGACTCGATGCCGGTGAGACCCGGTCTCACCCAGTTAGGCACAGCGGTGTCACGGCACGGCAAGTTGGAAGAGGGCGCCCTGGAGCTCCATCTCCTTGGGATCGGACGGGGGCCGGTGGATCAGACGGCTGCCTAGGCGGAGGAAGAGGACTGGTGTCCGTGGACCATGGACACCTCAGTGTTTTTTGTTCCTTTCTCAGGTTCTCTGACCTGTTAGGACTGCTAGGAGGGTCCTGATACCCCAAAAAAGGCACCTCAAACATCATGAAGCACAGGACAGAAAAAGGAGAACTCTGCATTCTTTCGCCGATCCCAGGTGTCGCGTATGGCCTGCAAATCCTTGGCCAAGACCGCTGCGTCCGAGTGGACCAAGACGCAAAGCCCAATGAGGCTGAAGACATCGACGCTCTTGGTCAAGGCGCAGCCCGGTCGGAGATTTTCCTCAGGACAAGACAGCCAATTGGTTGTCATGGGATTTGCCATGAATTGCCGGGAAGAAAAATCCCCAGAAGGAAATTTATTTACCCCTAAGGAAAATGCAACATTTACCCCAAGCAAAATCAAGTTGTTGACATGGAGGAATCCGATGTTGTAAGTTTTCCCAGCACCGGAACCTATTCTACTTCCCAAGACGGCCTTATATATGCCATCATCCTCTTTAAGGGGGGTTGGGGCTTTCCAGCCCCTCTGGCGCTGGTCTTCCTCTTCGTGCCGCGCTTCTTCCAGAAAGACCACCGACTCGAGCTCCCGAACCCTCTGAAAGTGCGTCGCCTCCACGTGGCCCTCGTGGTAAGATACTAAGGTCGAGAGGTATCCAGAGGCGAGGAAGGGGCCAGGTACGTCTGGAAGGCGGTCAAAGGCCTGGCTGAAGCCCAAAACAAGGTGGAGGATAGGAAACATTGCTCCAACACAAACACACCAATCACAAACTTATGGCCGGGGCGTAGACAGGGCAGCAACATGTGTGAGCGTTCAAAAGTGCAGCACTCTTCCAGGAAGCAGATTTACTGAACTTGAACTGATACCTCGCAAGGGAAGGGCTTGGGGAACTGCCCTGGTCACTCCGCACAGCTCCCTAATGAAGAATCTGGATACTGCCGGGCTCCTGAAAAGCTTAGCTTCGCTATGCTCAGCTCCTTCCCTCCTGAATGACGACTTTTTAGGAGTGCAGGAGGAGGCCTGAATGTAGACATAGACGGTTGATGAATCGCCCACTTTGATTGCAAGGCCTCTCCTTGTGGAGGAGCTACTCGGAGTTTATATGATCAACATCTATCTGACTCTCTCTCTCTCTCTCTATCTGTGGCACGCGTGGGGGTGTTTCCAAACCCCGGAAGGTTCCGGAGGGCCCCCGGACGACCCGGTGTTCCGGCCTCTCCGTTGAGAAAGGCATCCACCGTGGCGTCCACCTGCGTGTATCCCGTCAACGCCCGTGCCAAGGGGATCCAAGCGCCCGCGGCCCCATTGACACGGCTGTTCAATTCGACCAGGCATGGCCCGGTGGCAGTCATCATCACCTGTCCAAGAAAGACGAGGTGAAATGCGAGGAAGATACGAGGAAGAGATGGAATACATGTTTGAGTGCGTGAGTGACAAATGCTGGGCGAACTGCATGAGCCTTCCAAGCAAATATTGAAATATTCCCATAAGTTTGAGCACGTGTTCTCTTGAATAGAGGTCTAGTACTAGGTCTAGTGGACCATAGTGGACCTGACCTGGGCAGTCATCTTAAGCGAATCTGGAAGGTCTACCTCGTCGATTGGAAGGGCCCTCTGCAAAGGAAGAACACGACACACCTATACTGGCGAAAACGAAGCGTTTGGACTCTGGACAGTTATTTTCTCCACCAAGCATTCATCAAATCCTGTGTCACTTTGTGAAACCCACCTCTTTGCAATGTTTCATCTCTCTTCCACCTCATCAACTCCACTTCTTCAGCCCCTCACCACTCTCCACCACTCTCCACGCGCACCCCGGTCTCTGGCCTCGGTATGGGTGGCACCATCGGTGATCCGCAAGGCATCCAAACAGCCGCGCGTGTAGCGGATGAGCTCTTGAGCCACCGGACTCTCGGCCGCCACGCACCGAAACCCGAAGCACACGAAGCCAGCGCCGTTGGCGGCGCGGCGGTCGTAGACGTAGACCATGGCCGTCTTGTGCACACCGTTGCGTGACACGTGATCCACGATGTACCTGGGAGGTGCGCGCAGAACTGCGGAGTTGGGTCACACAACGGCCAGGCTGATGTAAGAGCCAACGTCATGCAGCTCCATCTATATAATGCAAAAGATCAGAATATTACAGTCCGATCTGTTGGACCGTTGCCTTCGTTGCCTGGGCTCAAATGATCCATTCAGCAGAGTTGCTCCGTTCCTTGCAAATACTCTTGTAACAAGACTGCAGCTCCCTGTGCGCCAGCCTTGCGCTGAGAGGTTAGCAACAGGTGGAAATGGGCTTCAGCTTCCATTGGGGTCTGGCAGAGCTTCCTGGGATGTGCTCAAAGTCTTGGACAAATCGAGTGTGGCGACTTCTGACATAATCAGCAGTAAAACAACCATCGGAATGCTTCCTGTAAAAGCTTCCATGCAAGGTCATCTTAATTACCTTGCACTAGGTGACCACACTCCCCAAATCAAGGTGGTTCGGTGACATTTCAGTAGGATAGTAGGAGGATCCCATCTTCATTCATAGCAGGCCCCATACACCCGATCCTCCTCGCCGCATTGCCTCTCCTTTTTTCGCCCGGCGGCACTCCATCCGAACCGGCCGATTCCACGGGCTTCACGATGATGGGGAAGGGTTCCTGAGATCCACTCCGCTGCCGCCGGGGTGGACGTCCCAGAAACCGCCCGACCCGACGCCGAAGCAACTGCTCAGACATCCCCAGACACGACACGTGGCACGGGACCGCCAGTCCGGACTGCCCCACAAACGGCCAGGGGTGGTGCCAGCGGGGCCAATGTGGGCATATATGGCAGTCCCATGGAGTGTTTGGGTATGGTTTGAGGATGGAAATAAGACAATCAGAAAGCCTCCCCTTTCCCTCCCAAATGGGTAAACTCATGGTGGTTCGGTCCAGAACCCTGTTGTGAGGGTCAAAACAGGTCAAAACCCGATGTCCTTTCTGAGCCGGACTGGACGAGGCGAATAGGTGAAACCGGGTCCTTTCGACCCGGAAACCGGTCCCCCCAAGAGTTTGTTAAACGATGTTACCCTCCCTAGAACTAACATGGAAGTGGAAAACCACCTGTTTGTAGTGGAAAATGGTCTTCCAAGGGGCCATTCTCCAATATGCCTACATTGACCCCCAAAACCACCCCATATATGGCATACATGGAGTGTCTGAGATATAAAACGTGATCCACTGACTGGGTAGGCTTCTGGAAACAATAACCGCCAGCACATTCAGCAACCGTATGATGCAACAACGGCGGCAACAGTTCAACAGGCTATCATGATGCCGCAAGGATCCGCAAGGTCTATATCGAAAAATGTTCATCATGCATGCATGATCATTGATCCATATTGATTCATGCTTTGGGTATATCCCCATTCCCTGTAGCAGTGGATGATGCTGGTGGGTAACGTCTCAAGGCCTTCCTGCATTCCGTTGCACCAGATTTCCGGCACAGCACACCGTCACCCAGCCACCGAAACACGGGCGCTTCAGTGTCAAGCCTCTGTCTCTGTGAAGGCTTGGACCTCCTCCCAGGCCTTCCCGCACACCGAGCGCACCGATCTCAAGCCATGCGCCTTCACCGCATCCTGCTGCACCTGCTTGTCGCGCCGATTCTCCAGGCCTCCCTGCAGGGCAATGGAATGTCCCCCTTCTTGTATTACAAGTTCGATCTGCATAAGTTTCTGAACTCATTGCAACAGGCCAGAAGTCTCACGGAGCTTCTCTCAAGTCGAACCTTGATGCTATTCCCCCGCAAGCCCATCTGCTCCGCCAACGCGTCGGCCACTTGAACGCCCGTCTCACCGCCACAGATCACCGCCGCCACCGGCGCGGGCGCGGCCACGGCACGCAGCGCGGCGGCCGTGAGGGTGAGGGTCGCTTCCTCGTCGATCTCGGCGAGGAAGTTTTCCTGGATGAGGCGGATGGTTTCAGTGGCTTGGAGAGGTCAAGGTGAGCAGTACACATCTACGCGCTGACTAGGATATTTTTAGTATATCCTACTATGGATAGGTATATTAATTACTATTTATAGAAATCGATTGGGACGGACTGTGTGTCTGTGAGGCCTTCCTTTCCTTTATGTCTGGCTTTCTTTGCAGTGTTGCCGTGGCTCCGGGACCCTGTCGCACAGCGAAAAATCTAAAACCCAAAGCATCCGACGCATGCACCGTCACCATGAGGACCCCTGCTGGCGCAAACTGTAGCCCTCCCTCGTTACGCTGAGCTGCTGGAAAGCCCTCAGCGGCCTCCGGCAAATGCTCGCGGTTCTCACCCACCTGACTGGTCCAGAGTGCGATGACCTCATAGCCTCGTTGGTGGATCACCGGTGCCAGCATGAGACCCGTGGAATAAGGGTCCACCAGCACCACTGACCTGGGACGCAGACCATGGCAGACGCTGCGTGATCAGGTCGAGCGCCGCTTTCGCGGCCGTGACATCGCGTTGCCGGTCTGCGGAGATTCGTGATGGGATGAGTTGGTGTGGCCAATGTGACCTTTTCCTTGGGGAAAACCATATTGCATTGACAAACGTAATACGTATTTCAAGAAACCATGCAAAATGAAAAAACTCCACAGTTTTTAACCCAGGAATGACCAAAAAAGGGCCTTTGGGCTGGAATTCCCAGGCTTAGAACCTGTGCTTCTTGGAATGAAGCCTTCTCACGAAGCTGGGTGCCTCTTGGATGCCTATCTCTCGCGCAGCATCGATGCTGCTGGGCCTCCACTCCCTAGAGGTCAACGACCTCGATCTGGTCTTGGGACCTGGTCTTGGGCAAGTTATGCTAGTATAAAATAGCCCGACTGAAGTCCAGTTCGACTATACTGTGACCGACTGAAGTAAAGGAAATGCCTAGACTCGGGTCACCTAGAGACCGTTCTTTTTATAGTCTTTGACTCTCAGGGATAATACAATATAAACTAGTATGTAAATCGGTGAGTCTCACCCAAAACCCCACAGGTCCTCCCAAGAGGTCAGGACACGGGCGGATGCATTGGCAGGCGTGGCAAGCGAACTGGCACGGGCAATCAGTGGGGCACTTGCACATGGCTGCTCAAGTGCGGTTGCCGGAAGGGTTTCGGTTTCAGGGTTTCGAGCAGCTCGCGACTGCCGCTGCGACAGCCAACGCGAGTCCGGACTCTTGGCGAAACGCCAAGAGCTCTTGCAGCTGGTTCCTGCCACAATGGCAGTGAGCTGCTCACGTGTTCCAAATGGGCGTGTTCCAAACGGGCACGGTCCGCGGTCGATCACCCAACCGAGGTCGGATGGGAAGCCCCAAGGGTCTCTGGACCGGTTCCCCCCCGGCACATCCGGACCGAAGAGTGCTCCCAAGAGGACCGGTCGGTGAAGGATTTTCTTATCATAAAGCATTGCAGCAGTGATGGATTCTGTGGATTCCGTGTGTGGATTGCTCTAGAGCCCAGCTCCATCGATGGTTCTTAAAGCTCCATCGAGTTATATATCTCGATGTGGGTGGATGCACCTCCTCGCCGGATGCCTTCCCCCGAGGTCACATCTCCCAGCTGCTCACCGCGATCCAGCGGGAGCCACGTGTGGACTCGAGGAGTGGCAACGCCAGAGAGCCTCGGTCGCACGGAGAGGGCGCACGGAGGCGGTGCCTTGGGCTCCGCTGGATCCATGGTCCCCCTCTCCTCACTGGCAAAACCACTATGGTTTGAAGACTGTATAGACTGTTGATTCACAACGCCACCCAAGTGTAAAGAGGTTTTACAACCCAAATGGATGGTTTATTTATTATGGTTTATTTCATATGGCTTAATTAGGATTCATCAATCGCCCGCGTCAATGGTAGAGTTGTCCTGGAGATCGTCACTAAGCCGAAGGTGTGAAGCGTCCAAGATGACAGACGCGCGCTGTGAGTCAAACACGGCAAGCAATCTTTCTATCCACTGCTATATAGTGGAATCTACTCGGTCCTGTCAACTCATTGTGCGGAGTTGGTCCGCCCCTCTTGCCCAGATGCTTAGGAGGAAGGTTCCAAAGAGCCTCAGCCGCCGCTCCACCAAAGCTTCTCTGGCCACAGCACCGATCTGGGTTAGGGCTCCAACCCTCAATTTGGCTAAACTCCTATGCCTATACCCTAGGCTTCCCACCACCATTAATTTAATAGGCTTTACTAGGTCAACCATTGTTTTAATGGTCTTGGAAGCCCAGTGCAGTAGTGACTGGCCACACTGGCGTGGGCGCTTGGAAGCTTCAGCTCTCCGCCCCTGGCCTGACATTCAATCATGTTCAATCTTTGTTCAAGGAGTCCGGTTTTCCGAACATGTTTTCGATTGGAGAATTTGAAGAGACCCATCGTGCACCAAAGGTCTTGGGACAGGGTCGCAGGGTCGCAGGCTCGTTTTGCCTCACTGGGCGATCTTCCTGGGCGACCTAAAATCACCACTTTGCACCATGAACGGCGGGCTGCAAGACACTATAGGTCACTAGGTGGCACTATTGTTGGCTTGCCTTTCAGTGGCAGCATCCTGCAGTATGTATGGATTGGCATTCACATCACAAGAAACATGACGCCGCACGAACATCTTGATCTGCATGACAGGGAAAAGCTGCTCTTGCACCTCTTTCGGAAGAAGCTGCAGCATATCCAAAGTTTTGGGGCTGCAGGTCCTGTTTCACAGCTATGTCTGAACATGTCTGAACAGCACGCATACAACGCGTAAAGAACTGCGTGCAGGGCGCTTTGCACGCCACGCCGGCCCTGTCCCATGCCACCAAGAAGCACGTTCGCAGCAAAGGTCTCCTGGAACTGTGTCCAAAGCGAGATGGACCAGCAAAACACTGCTGCAGCAGCCGAGAAATGGATTCACCTCCCTCACTCCACCTACTCTCTTTCAGCTTTCCAATGCTTTCCATGCACCTGATGTAAAGTGATGTAAACTTTTGCCGTTAATATGTGTGTGTGTGCCTCATATCCGCCCAAACGAATCGGCAATCCTCCCATCATCGGTGGGTCACTCCGCACCGCGCCTTCCGTGCGCCTTCCGTCGGCGCCGCCGTCCGCGCCTTTCCGACGCGTCGGCCGACCTCTCCTCGACCATCTCCTCGGTGATGCAGCGTTCCGCCCGGAAGCGCTTCTCGCCCAGGATCAGCCCGTCGAGACCTCCGCGGTGGAGCGGAGCAGAGCGGAGCGCCCACGGTGCCGGGTGGTTCGACGGTGGGCCACCGAAGCACGGTCTGGCACGTCATGGAAACTCGGAAGAACGTCACCCAAAACGACAGTCATGCGGCACGGAATCACGGTTAACACGACAGTTGGTCAGCCTTAACGGAAAGCCCCGCGAACAGAAAAGACATCGCAAATAATAAGTATATAAGAGAAGTGATGCTTGTATACTTCTTTTAACTTTGTGCTATTGGCTCTTCGGCTATTGGTGCCATTGGTGCTTTTTAAGTATGAAGGCTTTTAAGACTTCAGAATCATAAATTCTCGGTCGTTTCTTCTTGAACTTTGTGTTCGACCCCCCTTGAACTGTCCGGATCCAGATTTGGAGCACCAAGAGACGTTCCGACTGAGCGACAAACTCGTCCCTGGCGGAGAAGGACGGTCGAAACGGCAGCGATACGGGATGCTGGTGTGTACAAGTGGAATACCTGGAGACTCAGTAAGAGAATGGGTGACCTGGTTTTGCAATCGATCAATTCTTAGTAAAACAACTTCAAAAAAACAATTGTCCATTTGGGATTCAGACCATTACAACAGTGGCTGTTGGAATGCCAGGGTCGAGTTCTGTACTAGTAAGTAGCCTGCGCTTCCACGACCAACATGAGGTGCCGGCATTGCACACTCCCAACACTGAAATTCACAATGCATCCCTTAGAAGCGCGTCTTGAACAAAGAGAACCCTGGAGAACCCCAAAAAATCGATACATTATCACATTCACACTTTCAGATTTGACTACGGTCCTATGTTATCCATTCTTATCCATTCTTACAAGGTGTTCTTCACAGGCGTCGTCTTTCAACCTGTCTGAGCAAATTGCGCCTTTTCTCTCAAAATCTCAACATGGCGCTCTCTCTCTCTCTCTCTCTGCCCTCTCCACATAGGCTAAAAATGGCTAAAGCAAGCTACAGGCCTAGTCTGCCACTCATGCCTCGAGTCTATATAGGTGAAATCAAATGAAACCAAACACCAGAATGAGAGCAGAACTCAGCTGTTTGATCGGTTTGGCGAAGTCCAAGGATCCTACCATATGCATCCACATCCCACCTCTTCCCTTTCCAGAAGCCCCCTGAGGACAGCACCAGCAACGCCGCACGTCCGCATCCAAAGCAAGATCACCCTGCAGCAGGTGCAGCGCCTCTGCATCCTCAGCTGGGCTCTGGTGGCTAGGATCTTGTGGTGGATGTTTTTGCACTAGATTTTTTGAAGTCCAAGGCCAAGGCTTTAGCTGTGGGTGTTGTCAAAGAATCTGGGTGGGGTTCCTTTCACCAGGAGTGCCTTGGTGCATGTGAGTAGGGCATAAAAGGTCCTTTTCTATGTGTGGTCCTGTTTGCAAGAGCTGCCCCCCAAAAAATGAACAGCGGAATGGATGCCGGTACTTTTTGCAAAGCAGGGCATATCTTATCTGACATACCTGTTTGGAGAGAGCCCTGCACTGAACTTCTTTAATAAATGCCCCTTCTCCTAGCTTCAGCACCATCACAGTCAACGCGTTGAGAAGAGTTTCGTGCCATAGTTTGCCATCTTCATCAATCTTCCCACCTTCCAGCTGGTACCCCCATCCATGTTTCAGGGAGATGGGAGCAGTCCTTTCACGTCTGTCGTCGGAGCCCGCTGAAGCGTCCCACCGAGCCCTGAGGCCAGGCGCCTCGCCCGCCTTGAAGAAGAGTGTTTTCTGCACCTCGTGCAGGTCCGTCTCACTCTGGCACACCTCGGTTCCAACGAGTCTCCGGCGCCACGCCATGGTGGTGTTCGACACGGACCACATCGAACACCACATCGGCGCGACGATCCACATATGTCTGGCCCCGAAAGGACAGGGTCGATCTCTGGCATCGAAGCCCAAGGACGGAGTGCTTGGCAAACTGCGCCAGGACCCACAAGCAAAAACCCACAAGGCTTCACCTTCAGGCTCCCAGGGGCCATTCATAGATCCAAACCCTTACCCTCTTAGACACACCTTAGGTGGCGGTCCTGGTAATTAGGCGGTCATATGAACCATCTACCAGGGCTTAGGGTTCCAGGTTTTGACGCACAGCCATATGACTCTCGTTCTTTGTCATGGTGCCCTCGAGCTCTACAGATTTGGCTTGGTCATGCGCAGAAGGGGAAACATGGCCAAGCCTTAGCGGTTTAGGGACTTGACCTAGGCCAGAAACACAAATATATGGAAGACACATGGTGACAAATGGAAGACAAGGAGTAGAGTCTGACAGCCAAATCACGCACCGAAGTAGAATTCAAGCAGATCCCATCACCAGGATCGCCCGCCCAATAAGAATTCCAAGTGGCCATCCAAACCCGCGCGCCGCACTCCAAGAGAAAGCGCGCCACCTCACGCATCACGACATCTGTGCCTAGGTGTCAATGTCGATTGAAGGCCACTTCCGGAACGCATATGAACGCATTTCGTTTTGAGAGTGACGGTGGCAAGCAATGCCAGGGTAGAGTGAAGGCGATCAGAAGAACAACCTCGAGATGATTGAGCACCTATAAAGCTGCTCAGGCCCACCCAGAATTTGATCAAGTATCAAGGACATTGACACAATTTAGGCTTGCCCTTCGTTGTGGCCCTACATCACCGAAGCCCGTTCCTTCAACTACTGCGGGCCGCGGCTTCCCTGGCTCAAAACCCCAAAAAAACAACTGTTCCGTCTCCGGGCCTGTGATGAAATAGGCTCGCCCGGCGAGGCGCGGTTTGAAGGTCCTGGTGTCTCGGCGTGCTGCGTGGAGTCACGTGGCGAGCCATGTGCAGACGTCCAAACAGTGGGACAGGGGTGAAGAACTCTCAAAGTCCCAACGTGCTCTTCTGGTGTTGGAACATGGCATTTTGCATCCAAAACTGGGGATGTAGTGACAAAGTGTGCCTACATCAGCTGTTCCAATCGAAAGGCCGTTCGAAGCGGAAGGTCAACTTTTGAGGGCTTACGGTGGAATCTCTTTGCACCCTCCTTTCTCAGGTTAGTTGTGTAGACCGTAGGCATGACTGCAGACTGTAGAAGATGTCTCAAGCATCCCAGCCCGCTAATGATACACTAAGCTATTAAACCTTGTTGGCATCACTCGCATCACCAAGGCCCTTAGAGACATGCATTTTGACTACGTTACATGTTGTCCACCCTGTGTTCGCTCTCCCCCACCGGTCTGGGTTCACCCTACCCGAAAACCTGACCTTCTTGGAGCTTCTGAGGAATGATTACTATATACTTTGGATCTATATCCTAGTACCAATAACGGTGGATGATGATGGTTGTTGGTAAAAGCCCTTCTCAACAACAGTGATAATTGACCATTGTTTACTCACTGTTGCAGGTGATGGGACAAATATTTTTAAAAAATAATATATATATATATATTATAGTGACTATCAAGAACCCCAATCTCCATAGCTCCCCAGATCTTCCCAGCCTTTCCCAAGCGATGTGCCGGGAGTCGACCCATCGCTTCCCGCCCCGACCTCCCACGCGCGGAGATCCGCCGGTCCGGATGAGGTAGTCCGGCGAGCGCGTCTCCGCCTGATGTCGCTCCAGGCCCTCGAGCGTGAAGTGCTGCCTGAGCGACACCAACGAGGCTGGACGAGGCTGGAGGCCTCTTTGGGGTTCCGGTTTTTGAGACCTTCAGAGCTGCCTGCCGGCGGGTCTGGCCGGTAGGCTTCAAACAGGAGGAGCTCCAGCCCTAGAATTGCCCCCATTCTGAAGGGAAGAAGTTCAAAGGGACGGTGGAACAGGCTGAGAAGGCTGGGGCAAAGGGGAAGGATGACGATCTTCGCCCATGGGGCGAAGAAGACATGGTCGGACATGGAAACATCTGTCTGAGCAAGCGAGCTGGAGCGATCAGTGAAGATCTAAGTTGGGAGAAAACTTCAAGGTTGATCCTGCTCGGAGGTATCCTGTTGGTGCACATGCCATACAAGAAACCTAAGTGACACTTTGTGGATGTTGTCTCAGAATGTCTTGAATATCCAATGGGTCAAGCAAGTTTGGCTGGAGAAGTTGGCGCAAGTGGGTCCAAAGTGTTCCGCTAGTTATTGGCCTAGCCACTTGAATGACCTCTCCATTTCGCTCAAGTGCTACCCTGCTACCCGAAAGCTACTCCATATCCATGGATGTGATGTTACCAAATCTGGCCACTCAGTATACGGGGCATCAAGGGCTTGAAAAACTGCCGAGACTGGTGATGGGGCCACTCTCCACGACCTACGATGTCCAACAAACCCCCAGCCGCCTCCCATAGAGGTACGGCTGCGCCAAGGCTGCGAAGCTCGCGAAGCTCATCGGCGAGCTTCAGCTCGTCGAGAAGAAGGCGCCGAGCCGGAGGCGGTGTGGAGGGGGGGGGGTGTCTGTCCTGCAAAGAAGACTCTTTTGCAAGGCCTAAGGAGATGGGGGACTCCTGATGCAATCACCTACAGTGTCGCTAGCAACGCAATTAATTAGAAGAGTGGTGGTGCCCACCTTGCATGTTTCAAAGTCACAAATGGAACGATTTCAAATGAATTCACTGGATGTGTCCATATATATTCCTTCAGGGGTGAATGCCCTTGGGACCTCAGAGGGCAGTTGATCAAACAACATTCAAAGCGAGCTCCACCAATCCCATCTATCGATCCTTAAGTGTTCATTAAAGTTGTTGATCAGAGTGCTTCGTGTACTTGAGCCCCTGCAAACCACCATCACCCACATCACTCATGCAGGTGGCTCCCTGCTTGGCATCACACCCCTCAAGAGCCACTACCGGAAGGAAGCCACTGCTTTGCAAGAGGAGGGAAGAAGGGCAAATGTTTATATGCTGTGGTGTTGGGAGTCAGCATCGGTTTGGAAGATGGAAGACAGGCAGGGGATCGCGAAATGTACAGTGGATTGAGAGTAGATGGCACAATAACCAAAAGGTGGTTTATATGGATCCCCATCTAAAAGACATCTTGGGGTTTGTGCCATCTACTCTGAAACCACTGTATGATTTGTAGTCTTCCAGTGTGCGGATGCGGGATTCAATCATAGACACGTTGGTTTGGAATGCCAGCACTACCTGTGAGATCAGTACAGCATGCAATCAACATGTATATGCTATGACAATGAACAGCAGGATAACATGCATGCGGCATACTGGCCTACAATTCTTGTAGCAACGTGTTATATGTACACCAGCAGGGCAACATATACCAACTTAACACGCTAGATCACGTTATGAAGCTTCTAAGCACCCCCATAATTACTGGCATCATGCGTCCCCACTGCCGCGGGCTGGGGGCTGGTAACTCTGTCAGGGCAGATACCTCAAGACTTGCTGGCACCCGTCGTGAGCGATTGGCCGCGCAGATTTTGGATCCCGGCTCGGCAACGGCAAGGCTACCGCGATGGCAGCCCCGAACTAAGCCCGAGCGGCGGATGTGCGAGAAGCGGACCCGGCCCCCATCGAAGCTCTGTTGTCGACCAGTTGGGTTCTCAGTTTTGACCAATTTCCACCAGAAGCCCTGTAGAAGCCTTTGGATTAGTTCCGGCTGGAGGTGGTTCTGAGCTGTGAGCCAGCGATGCAATGTGCACAGTGAACATCAAAGGCTTGTGCAAATGATGGCGCCATGGCCATGACGGGGTAGGGAGACAAATGGGGCCTCACCAACCTCGGAACACCACTGAAGAGTAAAGGAGAATTAAACGGAAACTAGGACTGGACTACCACCCCGCAAAGATTTGTCTGGAATTGGTTTCCAAAACGTCGTGGTGGGGGTTCCAGGTCTCAACAAACCCTAGAATCCGATTTTCAAGGTTTCTCAGTGCAGATGGGGGCCAGGCCATTCGTGCATATACACAGATCTTTAAAATGGGCTGACAGAGCCGCCACTTCAGCCAGACTTGAAGATCTTGGCTGATTCTACCTGGGCGCAGGCCCAAGACGCGTGGACTTTGTTGCACTCTGCCCAGGAGCATTGAGTGGTTCCTCTAGCGGACATGGGAACAGGTTGAACACCCTCTGGAATCCACATACACTCCCCGAAACAATGATCAGCACCACCCAAAAAATCAAAGACTGGCCGAGAGTTGTGCCAAATGCCGCACAAAAATATCGTCGTTGCCTTCCTGTGTTGTGAGCTGTACAGCTCTCATCAGCTATCAACGTCATGAGCCATGACGAAACCAAAAAATCCGTGTCCATCGCTGCTTCGGGGCTGTAAACTGGTTAAACCATGAAAGGGATCCAAGACGACTGTCCTCTCAGGCTCAATTCGTCGGAAGGTGCCTAGAAAACCAGGTGCGAAGGTGCTGCGAAGAAGTGAAGAAGCCGAGGACTCCCTCCCATGGCTTCCTTGAGTCTGCTGCCTCTAAGTTCCTGATGGTCCTTCCACCGTGTATGTTGCATGGCATGGGGGGTTCCATGTGGCTTCCCAATGGCTTGTCCATGTGTCGCCTCCGACTCACTCACATGGTTACGTGGGATGGCTCCCGCAAGGATGACTCTTCTCCTCTCCCAAACAGGTGGTGAACTCCATGGAACCGGTGTTCGTGGGCCCATCGTTCGATACCCAGTCCCACGACACATGGGACTGCCAGTCCGGACTGCCGCCCTCGGCCGTTCCCCTTCGCTCCGAGTTCGGCCGTTCCACGGCCGCCCGACCGTAGACGGGCCCGGACTCGGCATTCTCACAGCCTCGCATCGCTGGGGGCGCCAGGTGGATGTCATGTGATGTGATCTTGCCATGGAAAATTCGGTCACCCAACTCGCCGCACCTCTCCCTGCCAAAATGGAAGGAAGTGGAGTTCACCCGTTTGGCCAAAAAAGGCTCTTCATGGGTCCTTTCGGTGCCATCCAATTCCAGTTCCGGGGAGTGTACACGCCAGACCACCCTCGAAACAACGCCGACGGACTCCAAAAACGGAGTCGTTTTGTTAGAACAAGAAGCTACTAGTAGCTATTTGCTACTAGTAGTAATGGCCGCCGACCTAGTAGCGATGGCCTCCACCCAGTAGCGTCCTTACTAATAGTTGGAGGGACCACTGGTTTCCAGGATCCATCATGATGTGCAAAAGGTACTCACCACTTCCATGGCCGGGAGAGTTACATAGATGCTTCTGGCTCGCACCTGCAACAATTGGTCACAACTTACAACTCTTGCCAGAAATTCACACATATTCACACCAAACATGAACACGCGCAGCTTCCAAGGAAACCTGAAGATGTTGAAGGATGGTTTGGAACCAAACCTGTGGGATTTAAAAAAAGCGCGAGCAATTCAACAACCCAATCCAATCCAACAATCCAGTCCAATTCTTCGCTTGTACCGATCCACACTCCCAACATGCTTTTCGACGTCGGACTCTGCAGGTGCATTCCCCGCCCGCCGCAGCGGCGCGATGCGGAAGGAATCCCACAGAAATCGCCTCTGGAGTTCCTCCTTCAAGCTGGCCAAGAGATTTTGCAGCGTCTGCCGATGAGCGGCCTCCGCCTGCATCGGCAAATCAAGTAAGATCAAGTCAGACGCCATCTTGGTGCCGGAGAGGCTCGATCGAAGTCCTGTTTTTGGCAACAAGACCCACATCCTGACAGTTCCCAACCAAACAAAGAATGCATCTGCCCAAAACAAAACTACTTGCAAGAAGGAGAGGAGTGAGAGGCCCCAGTTAAATGATGTCCCTAATTCGACCATGGATGACACCCCGAATGCCCTTTGAGCTTGGAAAATTTGACTATGTGCGAGAAAAGGCAAGGTTCTTAACTTCTCCCTGGGTTGAAATAAGGGCATAGTCGTCCTCTAGTCTATCGACTGAGATGAAGGACACAACCTACGGACCTACAGTACTATAGGATGACATAGGACATCATAAGATTGGCGGAAACTCTTGGAAACATCGAATGACGGGGAGTTTCGTTGCAGCCTCGGCCTCGATCCAGGCCTCGGTTGAGCAAGCGCTTGCGCAACCGGTGACACGGTGACAATCCCTTTGAGGGTTGCTGGAAGCTTCCTGACAAATGAGTTCAATTGAACACTCCCAAAAAAAACGCAGGGTTTATTCTTGGAGGTGTCTTTCCCTTCAAGATCTTCAAGGTTGTTCTTGCTTTTTTTTGCTGGTTGGCCTGGGTAGTGGTGCTATCTGCCTGGCTAATTATATGCTTTTTGTGATTCTAAGAAGCACATAGCATCAGACCCCACATATCCCCTCCTCAACGACTGCACACCCACATGGACGCGGCTTTTTCGCGGGCTCCTCAGAAACGGCCCAGCCAGGCGCCACCCGAAAGAATACGATGGCAACATATGGAGCAATGCCAAACAAAAACACACACAATCAATGGCAACATATTGAATACATTGATCAAACACTAATATACGACATTGTCATTATATATATTGATCATATACTACATATTAAATTCAACATTCGTGTTCTAACAAGCGCTTGAATACAATTGATGGACATACAGTATATATGTGCACATAAAAATAGTCTACATAAGCCCACTAAAAACCTCACTAATACATACTAATACAAGACTATACAAAAATCCGTACGAATCCCATCACCGGTTTCTCGGCAGCACAGTACGGCCATCTCTTCACCGAAAGCCGGTACCGGCACCCACCCTCTGCGCACGAGCTCAGCTTCCACACTTGGATGGTCGCCTTGGCTTCATCGGGAGCCAGGGTGGGGCGCGGCTGGGCCGGGGGCTCTGTGGTCGTCCCAGATGTGGAAGGTGTAATGCGGTCTGTTGGGTGTGGTGGATGATTGAAAGCCTGATGTGGCATGTTTCACAAGAAGGACATCCGGTCTGGGTGCTTTCCTTCTCAAATTCACTCATGCAGGCCCAACCCTCACAACGTCACAACGTCAATTGGATCACCTGCACAACCCTCGCGCACATTTGCCTCCCCCAACTTGTAAGCAGCACAAAAGCCGTTGAGCCAACGAATCAGCTGAAAACCGGGAGCCCGCCCGAATCCTTTTGTTCGTGAGAACATGTGAGGACCTCCAACACTTCCAACCGCCACCCTCAACATCGTCATACCTGGAGCCGCACTTCAATCTCCTCCGCCTGAAGCTTGAAATGAAGCCTCATCGGCCCGGGCACATTTCGAAAAACCGGAACCCATTCGTCGTCCTCATCCGTCGTCGTTCTCATCATCCTCCGTGGCCCTTGCCAAAATGCACCGTGCCTCCCAAAGGTCTGACTAAGTCTACATCCTGTCAAAAACCATATTCTTTTGCTGGCCATATGCGAAAACCATATTGGCATACAGCTCTCTTGTCCCACTGCACTTCCAGGTAATTACTAGGCGACAATGAGACATGCACATGGGTCAGCGCGTGCAAGCCAACAACTTGAAAGAGTGGAATGCATGCTTCTGCCATGGCCCCTTGTAATGGCTCTGGTGGGGCCGACCCTCTAGGCAGGCAACCCTCTACTTTACAAAAAACAACATCATCCGCAACCAATGTTCCCATGACTCCCACTACCAGGATCCTCTCGTGCATAGATGTGCCTAGTGCCTTGGGCCACACACTGCCATCATGATCCTCCCAGGTTCCCTGTGGAGGGCAACCTGCTTATTGTAGTGGGGCACCAAACCCCAAAAATGTCAATGGTCAAAGGATGTTAAATATCCACTGACTGGGTAAACACCCCTTCGCCAATGGTTCATCTCCATGAAGCTTGATGGCCTCCGTGAACTCCTGACGAAACCAAGGGGCGCTACACTCAAACAATAGAGAGAGGGTGGGACCGTTTAGCAAGGGATGCACTGGTTGGGGGAATGCAAAAATCTTCCGGAGAAGCCACTCTGCATCCCATAGTGAAATGTGTTCCTATCTTGTTACTATACATGAATGTCCGGCAAGCAGTATTTTAATGTATTTTGCAGTAGCCATCCTTCATGTGCATCGATGGTTCCAGAAAAGGGTGGAGCGCTCTTCTGGGAGAAAGTATACCAACATGAAGAGGAACAAGGGATCGTGCACAGTACTGTAGAGGAAAAAAACATTCTTCGAGTTCATCCGTGCCACAGGCCATGGTCCATCACTGCTGCAAACGACCCGAAAAAGATCCCTACATGCCTTTACTCAAATCTTCAGAACTTTCTTGCATGATTCCTACCATGTGGGCTCTTCAGCTTCATACACTTGTCTCCCATTTGGATTGTCAACTCTCTTCGTGTGAGGTCTTTTGATGGAATTTCGTCTACATGACCCCCCTAATTCCTTTTCAGACCGCTCCATCGCGCCGCTTTCTTTCCGCTTTCCCCATCGCCGTCCCCGCGCCCGTCCTTCTTGGGGTTCTTGAGCACATCGATCATCGCCCATCTGGGCGGAGATTCGACCCGCGGAGGCGGGGGTACGCGGAAAAAGAGGGTGGAGATCAGCAGCAGCAGCAGCAGGTCTTCAATTCGAAGGACATCCGTGAAGATATGTCAGGATGATCTACAGTAATTACATGGTTTTGCAGTATCGGACAGGTGCTCGTGCTTCTTCCTGTCGGAGGCCTTGGGGGTGGCTCACCGAGCGGCTCACCAAGCAGGAATGGAGCAAGGGCACCGACTGTGAGCGCCAACAAGCGGAGTGACTGGAAGCCCCCGGCCCCCCGGCCACCTTAAATCATATATATCCATTAATATCCTATCTCAACCTGTACAGTGAAGAATCCTATGTATAATTCCATATATATATATATATATAACCTACAATAACCTATTTAATACGGTTGAACTTGTCCGGTGAAACATGGAATCAAAGAAGTCCCAGGAAGTCTGGAGCGGATTCAGACCTCAGGTCTTCCCATGGTCTCATCATCGGGGGCCCCGGACATGTTGGCTGGAGCCACTTCCAGGATCGAGTCCATGATCCATTCTCAAATTCCACGGGCTCTTCTCTGGCAAGCTACCCCATGGTGAATACAAAAAAGGCACACGCCCTCGCCTGGCTGCCAAAACGGCCCCGGGCGACCGTCGCCCCCCCCCCACACACCACGACCAGTCGCCCCCAGAAACCCGCCGCGCGACGTGCGACGGGCAGGTGCCTGATGCAATTCTCCTTCACCGACCGGTTGTACTCCCGGCTCCGCCGCTCGCCCGGCTCAGTGCCGATCTCCCGCTCGAAGCCTGACGGACGCACGAAGCGAGCGAGCGGAGCGCGCTAAACGGGGCAGAGCGGATGTGGAGGGAGCGTGAGTGTGACACACCGCTCGCGGTGACACCACATGAAACTGAGTGTTGAGGAATGCTTTTCCCTGTTGAGGCCTTCCACCAACCTGTAGGACTCTTGTTTTGGGAGTGATCTCCAAAGGTCTCATTCTCGGAAAGGGGCAGCTAGCTGAGAAAGGAAACACACTGCCCATTGATGTCCATTGTCCCGTCAGCATCAAGCCAAGATCAGCCAAGCTATTGCTCTCCACCATCTCACTTTGCCCCACGCACCCCGACCCCCATCGTCGTTCCGCTCCGATCCATCCTGGCTCATTGAAGTAGGGCTGCGACACCAGGATCAACCTCGGAGCCAAGGTCGACGGAGACGACATGATCAGAGACGCTTGGAGGCCCAAACTCCACCCTGCCCCGCTTGTAAACACCAGTTGCAGTCTCGACGCATCGTTCATCACAGGTCCATATCGGGTATTGATTGTAGTATCGTGACTGGTAGGTCCATCTATTGTAATTGTACTGGTACGTCCCCTATGGCCCCCCTTCAGCAAAGCTACAATCACCGTCAAGTGTGGACCCCGCCCCAATGGATCACCGCCTCTCGCCTCTCGCGTCCGTTCGACGCGCTGCGTCCAGAAGCGCACCCTCCCCCGGGTTCGTCGGGGGCTCCACGACCCGTCCTCCGTCGTCCTCCGTCGTCCGCCGTGAACTCTTCCGCCCAGCCACGACTGGATGGAGATCAAGACCTGCACAGCTCGGGAGGTCTGCGAATCCCATTGCTCAGCCGTCTCGCCTGGCCGTGGCGGCCGTGTGAACGCCGCGCGCGGACGTGACGTGACTTCGGGTCCCCAGTCGACCAACAAGCTGGGGTGTCAAGGTTCTGAAGGCAACCCAAGATGAGACATATTCAATGAAATATGACCTGATACCCAAATTCCGATGCTGATCATGGTACTACATCTGACTCATCTCTGCAGTCTCGGCTCATCGCATCGACCTGTGATGACCTGTGCATGAAGAAAATCATGACCTCATCGACCTGTGCCTGTCAGGTTCAGAAACCGGTGCCCTGTTTCTCATCCGATCTGCCACACCCACCAGTGGGTGATCGACCAATCTGACGCCATCCGATACACCATCCGATGGGGGGTCGTTTTTGCTTCGACGGAGCGAATTGGAAGGAACTTGAACAGCCTTCGCATGCCGGCACTGCACTGCTGATGTTTGAGCATGTGTATGTTCTGTATGTTCTGTATGTTGAGTTCTTTCTCTTTCCTTGTAAATCTGTCATGTAATGTCATGTATATTAAACTGTTGCAGGACAAAAGCCTTGACTAAACAACCACTTGACCGACCTGAAGACCAAAGCATCGCCCGTTTGCCTTGCTTCACTCGGCGTACCAAACCCGCGGGCACGTTCGCTTCGAACTTCGTTCCACGGCTCGCTTTCCGCCCCGGAACTCGGAACGGTGGTGGAACTCCGTGCCTTGCCAGGTGCCCAGGAGTGACAGGCAAACCTTGCCGTTGCTGTAGAGGTTGGGATTGAAGCACACCGTATCTCGCCCTGGAGCAGCAGGCGCGAGCCCAGACGGTTGGTGCGGCTCCAGGCGCGAGCGAAGACCGGTTTGATGGCGCCAAGGGCACGACCGGTCGTGTGCATGTGACAAACTGGGTTTTGGGGCAGTGGGGGGGCCATTCAGAACTATTCCGAAATATTCAGAAGCCTTCCGAAGGTTGCTGCGAAGCCACGGAAGAAGGTCAACCAAGCATTCCAATGACCAGCCATGACCAGCTTATGAAACAGCAAGACCGCGCACCAACAAAAGAAAACGCACCATTCAGCATGCCTTTCATTTAACAAAGTCACCCCATGCCAAGGTCACCCTCCACAGCCCACCCTCCCGCCGCCTTTTTGCTCACATCACGTGAGGTCGTAAAACGTCCGTTAAACCAGTCCGGTGAGCTTCTCACAAGGCGTCAAGTACCCCGGGGACCGCCAGCTCGCTCGGCCCCCCCCCGGCTGACTTCGCCAGCGGAGCGAGGCTCTCGAGCGAAGCGCGAGCCACCCGGGTTTGGGCGGGACTTTGCCGGCACCGACATCGCTAGTTGTCAGGGTTTGTTGGACCACACCCGTTCACAGCCGTTGACTCATCAGTGCATCACTTGAGTGGCAGGCACAAAAAATAACAAACAAGACTTCTGAGCCTGGCCAAAGCCCTTGGGACTAGTGATCGTGTGCATGAAGAATGGATTGACAATGACAACGTGTCTCATTGGCATTTTGAGCTCCCCATCCACCAACAGTAGGAGGGGGGGGTCCCTATCCCAACCCGCTTCTTTGCGAGCGTCCGATTGGACGTGACTCAGCATTCTAAACCATCGGCCAGTTGGCTGGCCCACGGCCTCCACTGCAGACAATTCTTCTCTCACCAAATAACAATACAGCAGACCCCCAAACCCCCTAAATTATAGAAAAGTATATAGTCCCTTTCAATAGTTATTGGAAAACGTGCCATCCTGGACCACTAGCTATATATGTGTGCTTGGAAGAGACGCCATGAAGCAAAAACTCATGACCCATCACCCGGGACGGACACCTCCCGGTTTGAGAAGTTGAAATGCAGCAAATCTCTACGTCGGCCCGGTGTGCCACCAGGTTCTGGAATACAAGTCACATCAACAGCTACCTACTGTAATGCAATGTAATTAAATGTTATCCAATAGAATGTATACATGAATTCTACCAGGCAATGATATAAGCCTCGTTTGACTCTTTGTTGTGTCGCTTTGTTACTTCTCCAGGCATCTGACTTGCTTCCCTGAAAACATTTGCTTGTCCGCATTTGCCGCAACAAGCTGGCTGGGTGTCCAATTTGATCCCTAGACATGTTTGATTGAATTTCAACAGCGAGACCCCCCAGCCAATGGTCTAGTTGTTACTTGTTCTCTTCAGGTCTCTTCCAAAGGAACCTTACGGGGGGTCGCCAAGGACCAAGGATGGACCAATACCGTAGATTACCCAGGGTTTCCAATACATTCTTAGTGGGGATCTACTTTTCTATCCATTTGGAGGTCTATAGAGAATGCACACCATGTGCCACCCAAATTGGGACTAGTCTAGCCACACCTGCAGCGGATGCCGATTTTCCGATTGCAGCCACTCACCAGCTGACTCACGTGGAAACGTCCATGGCGTGGTTTTCGTCTACTCAATGGGCGTGAGGGAGTTGATCTCCTTGGAGGGGCGGCGTGGCCACCGCGGAGGAACGGCCTGTGAGGCCACCGCGGATTCTCATCGCCGGGGAAGAAATCCAACTATTCAATCATGTGGCGCATCTCAATCTAGTTGCTGCAACACAAAGGCTACTGTGTTGTCCGAAAGCGTCCGAAAAGTATCATGGAAGAAACCTTGTAACATCTATTAATAATATATAATAATCTATATAATTGTTCCAGGAGACGGTGCATCGCCAACATGCCAGATCTTCGCTGGACCATCCATCTACATCCATCTACTACATCCATCTACTACAGGACCCTCCGGTGTATCTTCTTTGTTCCCTTCAACGGTCAACCGATGCACATGTTAACCTCGCCGCAGCCCGGCAAGCCTTCAAGTCCTCGGAAGAACAGGTGTGAAGTCTGTGAAGCCGCTCACGCGGACCAAAAAGTCACTCGAAGCAATGACCCTAATCATCCCAATCGGAGACACCCTCCCCATGGTCGACACTCTTGATAAGCGAAGGTGAGTAGGTCGACACCACCGGCAGCAGGACCTACTTCAAACTTCATGTGTGAAAACTTTGTGTTTGGATGTGTTTGGTTGTTTTTGCATGGTTGTTTTGGAGGAACTTGGTCCGGCATCCCCGTTGCGGTGTTCAAAAAAACCAAGAGCTCGCCACGTGCCTTGGGCGGCACACGTGGCGCTCAATAACGCTTCAATAACGCTTAAGTATTGACTCATCACTCATCACCTTCCAAGCTTTCGCCCCTCATCAGCGAAGTCTGGAAACCCATCTCTCGGCCCACGACTCTCCCGTCCCTCGCCAGGTCTCTGTGCTCCACTTGCTGGGCTTTCCTCGCCCGCCGCAGCACGCATAGCCCTCGTGGTCGATCAACAGCTGAGAACGCTTGGGGAAGCAGCAACCGCACCATTCCTGGCGCGGTTGAAACGAATACACTCCGACGAACACATCACATGGTTATGGATCACGGCCACTGGGATGACCATGAAATCCTCTACTAACAGGTGGTTTTTTACACTTCCATGTGATGTGTTCGTCGCAGAGTATGCCCATTTAGGATTGACCAATACCCCTGCAGATGGGGGGGGTGATGAATCACGAGTTTACATATGTCCGATGCACTCCATGTATGATGCCATATATGCCGGCCCATTGACCCCCAAAACCACCCCAATGTATACCAGGACCTTCCAAGGGGTGTTTATAATAGCCCCTTAGAGGTGGCATGAGGTGGCCAAAAACCACCGAACTTGGAAGGTGGTAGGCCGGCAGTCCGGACTGGCAGTCCCATGTGTCGTGTCTGGTGCGGTGAGTGAGTCCGGTATCCATCGGTGAACCAAACGGCCCGCATTGATGGACAAGCAAGATCGTTCGTTCTCTCCATCTGTTTTGGGGTATGTCCATGGGGGGGTGTATGATGGTGGTGCTATGATCGTGTATGGACACATACCGAACAATCAAACGGGGAATCAGGGTTCTGAAAGCACATTTGGGCACAAAACCCGATGCCTCTTCAGAAAGTAGGCAAGTTGGACCCTCCTGGCACATCTTCTCCTGAAGTACTTTGGAGCCCTAGGAGATAGTAGTAGACTCGTAGTAGACTGTTGATTGACCAAGCCCCGTTTAACCGTCTACATTGATGAGCACGGCCGGACCACGCAGACTTCAACGAGGCGCCGACAGCCAGAGCCGGAGGCTGCTCGGGCCCAGCCAGGCCGAGGCGTAGAAGCGCAGGTAGAGGAGGTAGCACACCACCGAGAGGACGAGGAAAAAGATGAGCAAGGTGACAAAGGTGCCGAAGAAGCCCAGGCCCCTGCGGAGATAGGGCGTGACGCTGACGATGGGGGTGAGGTGATCCACATGCGTGGGCGGTGGTCAGCCGTGATGACGACAGGTGAGGTCATGGTGAGGTGGAACAATGGGGACGTGACTACCTGGTGAATGCCGAAAACGCTTCATCCATACCGTGTCAAGTAAGGATGCTATAGAGTTCAATCTGGACCAAGCCTCCAGTGGAACTTGACGTGGATATCACTATCATGGTGGTGGTGAGATTGTGTGAGGAAATCATCTCCCAAACACTCCATGGGACTGCCATTTATGCCTACATTGACCCCCCAAAACCGCCAGGTGAACAACACACCTCGCATAGAGCCTATCAAGTATCCAGATTGGATTGTAAGGGTCCTTTGTATTCATTCGCTCCTTTTTGCTAAACGTGCGGGCGTTTTACTTTACTCAACGGGCCCTATTTTCTGCCTCCAGCCCTCTCTGTCCAGCCCCCACTCCTGAATTGGTAGGTGACAATGAAGGTCAAGAGCCTGGGATCAGTCATGGGCTCCTGCAGAGTTCGACATCGCAACGAATCACTGCTTATCAGATTATCATAGATTATCAGGTCTAGTTAGGCATGTCTAATAGGCTATCTGGGGCCTATATAGGGACCTATATGGGGCCTAGAAGGTTCACCTGAAGCCGTATTTGTATGTGAAAGCAAATGAAAACCTGGGCTACACCCAAATAGGGCAAACATGGTGAGACACACCAAAAATATCCAAATATGTCCTTGACGTTCATTGAATCCTGCTTTCGAGCATCCATCCAGAGCAGCTCTTAGGAATCTTGGGTGCGCTGGCATCCGAAGCGAATCAACAGCAGCTGAGAGATATAGACTATATGATATATATATATATATAGATATGGAAGCCATTGGAAGCCCCAATTCATTTACACTGGGCCCGGTTAAGGACGGGCACGGAGCCCTCCACCAGGTGGTTGCTAGCTGCTAGCTTCCGCCCTTGCCGGTCTTTGACCTGTGGCCATTCCTACTGGCCCCCACCGCTTTCAGGCCCAGAACAGCTTACACCGCCATGACCCGGTTGAAATTGCTTGACAGAACTACCCACACGACCCACAGATCCTCGCTGTCACCTGGTTCTGATTCGATATCCTGGTTCTGCACTCTTCGCTCCTGCTGCACTGGGATGTCCGGATTCAATACGTTCACATACCACCTGAGCAGGCTCATCCATGGATCTGGACAGGGTGACACCGGTGACAAGGGACAAGTTCGATCATTTTCGAGATTAATTACCCAAACACTCCATGGGACTGCCATATATGCCTATAGACCCGGAGGTATATGTATACATATACCTCCGGGTTAGTTATAGTAATCAAAATATGGGCGGGGAAAACTCGCAGCTCCTTCGCTTTTGTGAATGTCCCCAACGCCATCAAATCAACAAACGGATGTTGAACCGGCCAACACTACCCTCAAGCATCCCACGCAAGCAACCGGATGCATGTGCCACACCCGCCGTGTCGGATGAGCTTTCTCCTCCCAACCCCCGGGTCAGTCCGAAGACCACCCTCTCTGGCTCCGGTGGGTCTGCTGATCCAGGGCGCGTCATGTCGAAGAGAGCTCGCATCAGAATGCCGGCCGGCGTGACCATGACTGCCACCGGCTGGTTGTCCTTGTTGAAGATGAGGATTGGCTCCTCAAGTTGAGTGACGTCCGAAGGGCTTGGCCGGTTGGCCAGAGGGTGGAATGGGGTGGATCGGCTATAGGGGAGTCTTCCACACGGAGCTAGGATGCATTTCAAGTTGCAGTCTGGTTCTTCTAGAAACGATTCTTGCCCGATTCTTCAGCGATTGTCCACTATAGCATCTACCACCCACTGCCCACCTCGGCGAGGTATGCTTCCGCCGCGGCCTCCGTCACTCGTCCCAGCTCCACGTCCCACGTCCACGTCCCACCGCCGAGGTACTGAACCGTCGGTGAGCTTGGCCGTGCGTCCCAAGATGTCGCCGGCGGCGTTCTTGACGACGTAGGCGAGGACGGAGGTCCCTAACCTGAACGACGTAGGACCCGGAAAACCGGGGCCGGTCGACGGGGGAGGGGCGGGGGGCGTGGTACTGGCGGAACGGACGTGTTGTCTTTGTCCTCGGACGGGCTACTAGACCTGGCTCAGGCGGAACAACATGAGGTATCATGAAGAATAGTATGAGAATGTACGAGAAATGGATGTAGTATGTTGCTAGTATATGCGGTGCAGGGATCCTGCGTCTTGGGCCACTTGTTTCACTCCCTGGACCCTTTGGACCCTCCCCCATGCAGCTCCAGGGGCATTTCTTGGCCGGAGGCGTCCATGTCAGTGGTCCTCTGGAGCACCACATCATAGAGGAGCCCCCCGAAGCAGTCCTCCACGGCACGCCGACTCCCCGAACGACGCCTTCCGACTAGAGATCCGCTGGCCGTTCGGGCCGTTCGGGGAGTGTGTTTGTTTCGGTCGCGGACCTGCGCGGTGGAGACCGCGTGGTCGAAAACCCCGAATGGGGCCCCATGCGGCGTTTCTTGCTGTTGAGGAGAGGCTTGTTGGACATAGTTGGACGTCCTATGAAGCCCAAAAAGAAACATGCAAGGACAAAGCAATTCTCTTTCATCCTCTTTCTCTGGATGGGAGCTGTGTGAACCACCACACCGGCAAGCTCAGGACCACTCGAATTCCACTTCACTTCTGCCCGCCCTCTGTATCCCTCTGTTCTCTTGTTCTTGCTCTTGCGGGGGTCAGGTGGTATCTACCGATTGTTGGTCGAACTCACTCGCCTCGCAGTGCCGTAGTAGGGCAAGTATCTAATGCCCTGGTCTTGTCTACAAGTCGCATAGACTAGCCTTCCCATTGATGTTTGCTTGGCATACTTCGTCCAAAGAAGCTCCTGGATTGCCGGCGACCCACGCCCAAATGGTGCCCATCCGGGCCCCACGGACTCCCTCCCGGCGCCTTGACGACGAAGCCACACCAAGTCCAAAAAGGGCAATATCCCTGCTGACCTGGAGAGTTTGCGGCTGAGTTGTCTTCTAGCAGCCGGCCAGACAGACAGACAGACAAACAAACAAACAGAGAGAGAGAGAGAGAACAGTAACAAAGGAACGCACCAACACACTCCCGAAAACTCATCTGGAGTATGATCTTCTTGGAAGATGCTAGTCCTCCACCGTCTTCCAGGGGTTTTCGGGGTCCATCTCAGTCTTCGGTGTAGACGAACCGTCCTGATGGGTTTGGGCGTGAGCTGAGAAGGGGCCAGCAGGGGTCGGGTGACCCACTCGCTGCACCGGCAAACCACGAGTAGTGGCAGGGCCTCGCTCCCATGCACTCCGGGGAATCAGGAGCATAAAAATATGGTTATCCAGCCCTGAAAGTGATCAATGGGTGTTTCAGCCCTGCCCAAATATCCTGAATGGGTTTTGACTGTACTGTATACTATTTTTTGTGTATACAGTATACATGTGTATACTCAATGCTCTTGTCGGCTTGGCCCTCTTGAAGGATGAGGACCCGAATGTCCGTGTACTGCGGGATGACGCATCAGGACGATGGACCTTGATTCCTTCCCACCTCATTCTGAGGTCAAGCTGAGACCTTGAGAAACCAATGCATGGCGAAAACCTGATGGCAAAACCCATGACTGGCACGTGCAAGCTCAAGTCAGTCAGTCAGTCAGTCAGTCAGTCAGTCAGTCAGGCGGCTATCTGCATTGAGGCCCTCATTGTTGGAGGTAAGCTTCAAGTAGCGAATGAAGGGCACAGGCACCACTCCGACCTGGTCGCGGATCCGGATCGGCCCGCGGCGAGGCGATTCTTCCGGCGGCCGCGGCTCGGTAGGGAGGTCCCCTGGCAGAAGCGCTCCATTCATTGGTTGAACATTCATCGGAAAACTAATAGGAAACCCATAAGAAACCCATGGGAGACATATTAGGAAATATAAGTAAAAAATTCACATCTGTGCGGATTCGGGGGGTGATGTATTACGGTGGTTTCCTAGATGTTCCCTTAATATAACCACGTCCCATTAGAAACTCAATAAAAACATCAACAAACGACCGTCAAAACACACATCACTCAGAAACCAAACCCTAAGGCCCTTGGGTTCCTCTTTCTTCGGCTCCCAAGGCGGCTCGTCCCCTCCTAGCGGCTGAGGTCCCTGATAAGTGGTTCGCTGGGAGCAGCTCGTTGGGCAACGTCTTCTTCACAAAGCACTCGCGCTGTGCTTCACCGTCCCCTGTGTTGCCTGCGTAGCCGGACCAGCTTGGCACCATGGAAACCGAACGCTGCCCACCATGTTGGGCACCATGTTGGGCACAAAACGGCATTATATAAACCCAAGCACCAAACAAGCCAGTTTTGTTGGAAGAATGATGAGGAAAGTATAGGAAGGTCATGTTCGAAAAGGAACCTGCTTCATGTTTCAGGATGCAAGCTCCACCAGCCGGTGCATGGAAAGAGAGCGCGGTTTCTTCTGCAAAGCCGTGCTCACCACTGAAATGGGCATAACTACCTACTCCGGTCAATTGACTCCAAGTGTGTTCAGATTGCTTTTGCTAAAGTCTCCATCATACTCAATTTCTCTCAAAGTCTCCATCGTCTCAAATGGCTAACAAATAACAAATGTCATCCACTGAAGGACTGAGATGACGTGCGCAAAACGGTTTTTGGAGCAAACCAAACCCGATTTCATTTTGCAGTCTTTTGCCCAGAGGCCTCTCCTCTTCATGCCCACCCAAAGTTTGATCCGGATGTTGACGATGGTCATGCCAATCCGTCAGGGGGCTGATACACGAGGACCTTTTCAGGATGTGTAGACATGAATCTGAATCCTCAGATACATTTGAGACAAATCCCCATATGGCCCAAAAGCGTGTCCCTCCATACAGGCCATTGGGGAACCCTTTCGTTAGGTGCGAGCCAAGTGACAGGGTTCTGAGTCTACATGAGTCAGAGGTTGGGTGGGTGGAAAGCAACCAAAAATAAGGTGCCCTTGGATGGATAAGCTTCAAAGAAACCCCTCGAAATGCAGCTGCCAGGAACCGTTCATCTCTGCAAATGGTCCGATCAGTGCATCTGCTGAGCCCGATGACGCCCCCACGGCCCCACCTTTGTAGAAAAGGCAACACTCTGACTGCGGCCTCAGAAGCTCATTCAGCTCTATGGGCGATCACCCTTTCGTGGCTCCGCCCGAGCCCGAGCCCGGATGGGTATGGGATCAACCACCACAGGCCGCTGCGCCCAGCGGCCGATCCATCTCTTTGTGGCCCAAGGGTCGTCATTGTGGACCGCGCCCTCCCAGGGTCTTGCAACAAGTCTGGCCAAATCTTGGCATTTGACGAGAAGACTACTACTGTATACTACTGTACTATGGTTTCATAGGGAGTGTCGGTCGACATCATCTTGCTGAGCACACGGAACAAAGAAAGTTCATGTCTTCAGGGTAACTAGCTTGGTGGCGCGTTGGTGAATCCAAAGAAAATTGGCGTCAATATGTGTGCGTTCACATCGTTCACAATCGTTGCGTGCGCCAGCCATTGAAACCACATCTGATTTAAAGCATGAGGTGTTTGGGGTCGGAGAGGCATCTCCAACAAGGATCAAATCAAGTGAACTTGGACCTGGTCGCAGCTAGACATCACCCCACAGCAGGACAGGAACATGGCGCCCTCCACCCACTCCGAACCAGCTGGCGCCCTCCCCGCGTGGCGCTCGTCCCCCCCGGCGCTCTCGCTCGGCCGGGTGGCACCGTGCCGCGGTCGAAGGATCCGCAGAAGTCACGGGCCTCGCACTCGGCCATGCAGCCGATGACCGAGCGAGGCTCCTGAGAGGACGAGGGAGCGGTCTTGGTCACCCGGTCGAAGCAGGTCCAAGCACTGGGGACTGGTACCTCAGAGAGGTACCAGAGAAAGGTCCTTATAGGGTTGTTATAGGGTGGTCTCAAGAGAGGTTGCATTGTATAAGTGACCTTAAATAGGACCCGTCACCTGGGGTACCCAACTGGGATAATCTATAGGGTGCTTCAACCTCTGTTGGAAGAAGTGGAATTCGGGAGGCGCGGTCGCCGCTTCCCCCAGATGCCGAGGCAGTTGCAGCGGCTTTGCCCGCTAGATTCCACAAAGGCGTTGTTCAGTCCTAAATGGTACTATATATTGCGTACTTAATTAATGAGAGCTCGACGTTATGCGGGTGTGGTTTTTACGTGCTTTTGTGGTGTTTTTCTTAGATTTTGTCATGTTTAGTCAGAGTTTCCATGGTTATAGTCTAGATATGTTCTTGTGCTCCTGTTTCCTAAACAAAACCAACTTTTCTTGTTTAAAAAACCTCTGGATCCAACTCTACCCTTCCTTGCCCATAAGCATTCTCATTGTTTCAAAGGTAGCACTTTTTGGGCTTCTCCCTCCACATTCTTTATGAAATGGGCTTCTCCCTCCACATTCTTTATGAAATGGAGAGAAGATCATTATCTTGAAACACAATGTGCCCACCACGCCCAACAAAAGTTGAGAAACTTGCTTAGTAGTACTGGACCTGGATGACTGATTGGAATTGGGTTTTGCATGGCCTTCTTGACGTCCATACCCATAATAAGCC